TCACTTGTCCTCACAGCCAGAAGTGGGATGATGGCTTCACCCAACAAGCCACCTCTTAATATCTCATCATTGCTCCCCAATGGCAGAATTTAACCAGAAAGTAGCCACCAGGGGAGCCCGGAAATGCAGTTTTCAGACTTCCTGCTTCCTGGAGTACAGAAAAGAGAATGGAAGTATAGGAATGGATGAGACCCAACACCATCTGGCACAATCAAATCCAAATTTAAAAAAAAATCAGGATTAGAGGGAACAGCTGGCAAAAAAAAAAAAATCACAACATGAAATAGAAAATAACAAAGATAGAAAAAAAAATGGCCATAGAGAGATGATATTTATGAGAGAGGGAAATACAACATATCTATGATTATAGGTGCTAAGAGAATAGGACAAATGCAACAGGAAAGATTCAAGGCAGCAGAAGAAGACATCCCTGAAGTTAAAAATATATATAACAATAAATCTTGAGCTCYAGAGAGGATTTTGCTGTTTTGTTTCTGTTTGGTTTTGAGACAGGGTCTCGCTGTCTTCCAGGTGGGCCTTAAACTTCTGCACTCAAGCGATCTTTCGCCTCCTAAGTAACTGGGACTATAGGTACACAACACCACACCCAGCTTAAAAGAGGATATTTGTTCCTGGAAAGTCAACACTGCAATCTYTCTTGGTGGAGTTACTGAACGTCAAGTAAAAAGAAAGAATCTGTCAGGTTTCCTGGCAGAATAAAAGTGATACAAGTGCCAGGAGAAGTAAATTAGGCCGACCTCAGGCATCTCCTGCCAAAAAAATAGTCTAGCAATGTTCTTAAATCTGAGGCAGAGAACTGAAACCCAAGAATCTGAAACCTACCCACATATCCTTCTGGCTTCAAAATGACAGACTGGTGTTCATCAGCATGCAAGGCCTCAGGGAATGGGGGACCCACAGTGCTTCTCAAGGAAACTGCTGGTAACTCCACTGAGTTAAGGTGTTGGGCAGATTAGGTACTCTAGATCCCTCAATACAAATCTAGAAATGCTGGAGAAAATATCATAATCAATCTTTTAGAATTGATGGCTGAGTTTACCATAAATAAAAGAAAATATTCTGTGGCCAGGAATGTATTGTGAGCCCAGCTCCAGGGAGGTGGACAAGTGCTAAAGTTATCGGCCATTCTGGGTGAGGCTGCCAATTTCTGGTAGTCAGAGCTTTCATTTCCTAGGCCTCCTGCCAGGCATAGGAGGCAATATCTTGGTGTCCGAATGGAGCATAGACTGCGAGTCCCCATGTTAAGGCAAGTACCACAAAAGGTATCACCCTCAGAGAAAGAGCAAAGTAGAAGGAAATCTTCCCTTCAAAAGCAGCAGACTGGGGCTGGGGTTGTGGCTTAGCGGTAGAGCACTTGCCTAGCATATGTGAGGCCCTGGGTTCGATCCTCAGCACCACATAAAAATAAATAAAATAAAATAAAGGTATCGTGTCCAACTACGACAGGGCCTTGAGTTCTATCCCTGGTACTGCAAAAAAGAAAGGAAAAGAAAAAAAAGCAGATAGTGTTGTGTTGACTACACTCCTATCTGGACAGGACATATTAACAAGCTTGTTTGCATACCAGTGCTTTACAATACTAATAAGCAGAATGGGTTTATTTTTGTGATCCAGACTCAAAGAGGTCCCCTCTAAAGAAGAATCCTCTTCTCTGTCATCAATTAGAATTGAACCTAAACCTCAAGCAGGCCTTTGCAAATATTCTTTATCAACCTTTGTCCATGTCATTGTCTCCATTTGAAATGCTTCTCCCTGCCTGTGTTTTCCAGGCTTTTCCCAAATATGGAAGTACTAGGCATCCTTATAAACCCAGTGCAAGTGTTGCTAGCTCCACAAAGCCTTGCTTGAATTCACGCAGCTCAGAGGGATTGCTCTCCCSTCTCTGACCTCTGAACATTTACCTTTATCTCAGGCTAACATATCATATTGCATCTTGAATGGTTACTGTGGTGTCTGTGTGCCCCGCCCCCAGGAGATTAAGCTGCTAGAGGACAATAGCTGTGCCTTCTCTGTCTTTGCATTACTCCACACACTGAATTAGTGCTCAATTCATGTCTGATGCATTAAATTGAAAATAATTGAACTGGAAAGCCTGGGGTATTTTGTCATTCTAAAAACTCTTCAGTTCCAGCTCCTATCATTTGTTGAAAACCAGGAGGTTCTGATGCGTTTATAGACATGCCATGGAGGACCATCTGAGAAGTGGTTCAGAAGACTGTTGTCTCCTATGCCAGATTCTTCTGTGGAACTTAGCACTTATCAAGGACAGTGCTCAGTTCTGCTTCAGTCCCATTGATGTCACAGCTACTTGTTCTCAGTATAACTTCACAAACTCATGCCTGTGTTGGCTGGTTATCTGGATAGGATGGAGAATTTTTATTCAGTGTCTCTTCTTTCCTTTCAATCCACAACCCCCAAAAAGGCAGCCCAAGAAGGCAGTTGCAGAATGACAACTATTCTCTTGGTAATACCCAACACTCCCATGGTGTTTGCTCCAAGCCAGGCACAGTGTTTTACTCATGAGTCCTCTCTGGCAGGCACTACTGATGTCCCATTTTATACTTCAGGATACCAAGGCAGCCTAACCAAAGTAGAGAGCTAGCAGAAATAGAGCTAAGACTCTGGCCTTGACATTAGAAGTGGAGTTGGATCCCACTTGATTATTTACTACTTCTGAGAACTCACAAGTTACTCAACTCTCTGAGTCTTGATTTCCTCATCTATAAAATGGGGATAATAATCTCTTTAGGATAGGAGAAATTAAATGAGAACACATTTTAAAATGCCTATACTTGGTAGATGATTAATAACAACTCTTTTTTAGTGGAATAAAATGTGTGAGCATAGTGACACACGCCTTTAGTCCCAGCTACTCCGGAGACTGAGGTGTGAGCCCAATTAGAGGCCAACCTGAACATAATAGCCAGACCCTATCTATGAAAAACAAAAGTGAAATAGCTAGATTAAAAAATATTAATATGAGGGGCTGGAATTGTGGCTCAGCAGTAAAGTACTTGCCTTGTACATGTGAGACACTGGGTTTTATCCTTAGCACCACATTAAAAAAAATAATAAAAAAATAAAGATGTTGTGTCCATTTACAACTAAAAAAAAATTAAAAATATTAACATGGCAGGGTGGGGGGTGGTTCATGCCTATAATCCCAGTGGCTTGGGAGGCTGAGACAGGAGGATTGCAAATTCAAAGCCAGCCTCAGCAAAAAGTGAGGTGCTAAACAACTCGGTGAGACCTGTCTCTAAATAAAACAAAAAATAGAGCTGGAGATGTGGCTCAGTGGTCGAGTACCCCTGAGTTCAATCCCCAGTATCTACCCCCCCACTAAAAAAAAAATTATCATGGGATTGAATTTGTGGTTCAGTGGTAAAGTGCTTGCCTAGCATGTACAAGGCACTGGGTTCAATTCTCAGCACCACATTAAAAAAAATAAATAACTAAAGGTCCATTGACAACTAAAAAAATTTTTTWAAAGAACATTTAAAAAAAATTAACATGGTAGCAACTAAGGCAGAGCCACAGAGAACGTGTTCTCATGCTGGCAAAATGCACCCCCAAGTCCATCCTTTTGTCACGTTGTGACCAAAGTTTGATTCCAATGTGAAAAATTATTTCCCTCCAGCAGGATTCCTAAGACAGTAACGCATTTGACATGTAACACATAAAGACTGAGTATTCTTCCCACCAAATGGGGCCCCTCCAGCAAATGATATTTTTGCTGATCAGATTACATTGAGTTATAATAAAAGATAGTTCAGGCTGACCGAAATTGGAAAAGAAAATGTAAAGATCACACTGAAGCCATCCAAAATAGCTTGATATGTTTTAATTGTTCTGTATTAGCTTGCTGCATCTTAGAACATTTTCTTAAAATCAAGTCACAGCTGTGGATACTTTAGGCTGTGGCCATCATAAACAAATATGAAAAGAAGCAGAGTTAAAACAGATGAATTCTAGGGCTGGGTTGTGGCTCAGTGGTAGAGTACTTGCCTAGCAGGTGTGGGGCACTTGGTTCAATTCTCGGCACCATGTATAAATGAATAAATAAAATAATGGTCCATTGACAACTAAAAAATATTTTTTAAAAAACAGATGAATTCTAAAGGTTATCCATTAGTCTGATGTGATCTAACACAAATGACCATTTAGAGACTAGTGAAGATCTTGAGGAAACAATTTCAATTATGAGCTTCTATGTAGCTGAATGATAGCTTTTGCTAGTGCTTATTGTCTGCTTTGGTCATGATCATAATGCTTTTGGGAAGCCAAAAATCCTCCTCCTTGATAAGTGAAAATCGTGGAATATACCAGAGAACAGAGAGCCAGATTTCTGTGAAATATATTCAAAGATGGTAAAGTGAAAACTCTCCTTCTCCTGGCAGAATTGGAGATGGTTACCATGGAAACTGACTCATCACCACCACTGACTGATTTAAATCTTTTGTCAAGGAACGAGTTATCCGGGTTATCATTTCTTCTCTTCCCGTGCCCTCCCCTTCCAATTCCTCATCTCTCCCTAACAAGTGGAAGTCTTCCTGTGCTTTGTTCCAAAAGCCAATTTGGTGTCTTAAATGATCAGTCCTATGAATGGCAGGTTTGGCCAAATGGACTTGCCTCACAGAAGGGGTGCCATATTGAACACTTGGTATTAGAGCAGCAAGGGAGACGCCACATTTCAGGAGTAAGCCAGTGGAGGGYGACTGCCATTTCACTAGAAGACATTGTGCGGAGAATATGGTTTCCACTGAGGGAGCAGGGTGGAGTTGCATGTTAACAATTCACTTGCCTGAACAGCTCAGGTGTTACTTCAGTTTATAAAAATTTGTGCTGGGCACAATGGCACACGCCTATAACCCCAGAGACTTGGGAGGCTGAGGCAGGAAGCTCAAAAGGTAGAAGCCAGCCTGGACAATTTAGTGAGAAATAAAATAAAAAACAAAAAGGGCTTGGGATGTGGCTCAGTGGTAGAGCAACCCTGGGTTCAATTCCTAGTACTGGGAAAAAAAAAAAAGGAAACAATTTGTCCTGATTGGGTGCTGTGACCTGCCCTCTCTAGTAGTAGTTGTTTGCTTAAATTTGAAAAATTAATTTTGAGCTAGTAGTTCAGCTGGGAACACAGGTCAAAGGTGAAAGTCAGCTGGGCTGAGGGGAGAGCCACGCCTGAGGAGTCCTTCTGTGGATCACCTGGACAGAGCTGGTGAATCTGTCTACATTAACTGTGGAGCTTTTCCAGAACAGCACGAACTTCCTCTGGATGGTAGTTCCAAGGGCCAGGTTTACCCTGCAAGAGAAATGAATCAGGCATTCCCAGATTTCCAACCTGCAAGGAATATGTAGGTCTGGAGCTTCGTTGTAGATCTGGACTAAGATCTATGTGGTGTTATCAGTACAGTGTGGCCAATGGCAGATTTGCGCAACAATGAGGTGGATCAGATCATCCAGGGAAAGTGGGTGGCGTGGCACCAACATTTAATGAGAAGACTGGACTGAGATAGAAGAAAACTAGAGGCAAAGTTACCGAGTTTTAGGAGGAGAAAAGGATCTTTTTTTGTTTGTTTGTTTTAAATAAACTTTTCTTCCCTCATTAGACCTTCAGACCTTTAGACCTTCCTTTCCTCTTCAGTCCCCACAGAAGCTCCACTCATTCTGCATCAAAAACACCTCTGCTCCTCCAGTCCCCCTGCCCTAGAGATGCCCTCTGCACTCCCTAGTCCTGGCAGCCACCACACCTCCCAACTATCCTGCTCCCTCCAGTCCATTCTTCACCCAGTAGTCAATGGCCTCCCTTCCTTTGTTGGTACTGGGGATTGAATGAAACCAGGGGTGCTTTGCCACTGAGTCATATCCCCAGCCCTTTTTATTTTTTATTTWGAGACAGGGTCTCTTAGTAGTTGTTTAGGGCCTTACTAAGTTGCTGAGGCTGGCCTTGAACTTGCAATCTCCTGTCTCAGCCTCTCGAGTCACTGGGGTTATAGGCATGTGCCACTGCATCCAACAGCCAATGATCTTTCTAAAGAACCGATCTGATCATGCCTGTCTTCTACTCAAAATCTTCATATGGCTCTTCTTTGCCCTAAGATGAAAGCTGAACTCCTTGATCCAGGATCAGACCCTGTAACCCAAGTGCCTCCAATTCCCTATTCACACCTACCCTATATACCTCAGGGCCTTTGCCACCTGTTCCTATATTTGCAATGACCTTCACTCCCTGTGCTTACTTGACTGACTGCTTATGCTTTTTTTTTTTTTTTTTTTTTTTTTTTTTTTTGGCTACTGGGAATTAAACCCACAGTACTTAACCACTGGGCCACATCTCAGCCCTCTTATTTTATTTATTTTTAATTTTGAGACAGGTGCTTGCTAAGTTGCTAAGGCTGGCTTTGAACTCACGATTCTCCTGCCTCAGCCTCCCTAGTCATTGGGATTACAGGCATGCTTCACCTTATCCAACAGACTGCTTATGCTTTAAGGCCATACTTGCCACATCCTCTGAAATATCCACCCTTCCTCAGGTTGGAAAACCTGCAGTTTGAGAGCCAAGTTATTTCTGATAACATACATTCTTCACTTACAGATGGTCTGTGACTGCTTCTTTGCTATAACTGCAAAACTGGATGCTGGGAATTCAGGGTTATCTGGTCCACAAAGTAAAAAATATTGACCATCAAGGCCTTTACAGAAAAGGTTGCTGGTCTCTGCTGTGGAATCTCAGCATTCAGGACATTGTATTACTACTCTTTTTTTTTTTTTGAATATTTTTTAGATGTATGGACCTTTATTTTATTCATTTATTTATATGTGGTGCGGAAAATTGAACCCAGTGCCTCACATATGCTGGGCAAGCCCTCTACCACTGAGCCACAGCCTCAGCCCCTGTATTACTACTCTTATTTGGGTCTTCCCAGACTGTGGGCACCTTGAAGTAAGGCAGGGATCATTCAATTCATTTTTGTGTTTCCAGGATTTGCACAGGGCCTAATCCAGGGTAGGGACTTTGTGCCCAGGATCTTAGAACCATGTGTCAGGGAAGGGGCAAGGAAGAGGGACCTGCATCCTTGTATTGTGACCCTTAGAACATTGGGGTTCCATGTACAAGATGTTGCTTATTTCACCTGTATAAGTAGGGCCATGAGCAGAATAGCATCCAAGTAGTTGGATATCATCAGTTATCCAAGGCTGCAAATCCTTTCAGCAGCTCTAAACTTATTTCCTCCTCTCAGAGACCAATACTGTCCAAGGAGCCAGAGGCTGTGCCTATGTGTTAGCTCCTGTTCCCTAGTAAGGCTGGAGACCATGAGGGGAAAACCATCACCAGGAAGCCTGGACTCAGTTCTCTGGTTGCATCCCTGCTTCAACATTTCCAGCTCCTACCCATAGAGTTGGCTCTCTTTAGGTTCCTACATCCCCTCCAGAGCCAGGCCTGCCTCAGTGATGAGCAGCTTCAGCCCTCTCTATCCTGCTGCCTCTCATGGGGGCAATTGAAATCAAAGCCTTGCCTAGTAACCTTGGGCAAGTCAGTTCCCCTCTCTGAGCATCAAAATAAAACAGAAACATCTTCTATTTATCTCCCAGTTGAAARTCAGGGTTGGGCCAGTCGTCTGGGTTCAGAAGGCAGCTAGTAGGATGCAGTTATGGTCCAAATGCCAGGGCTTGCCCAGTGCAGTGTTGCATACTTTTAATCCCAGCAGTTTAGGAGGCTGAAGCAGGAGGATTGCAAGCCAGCCTCAGCAATTTAGCGAGGCCCTAAGCAACTCAGTGAGACCCTGTCTCTAAACAAAATACAAGAAAAGGGCTGGGGATGTGGCTCAGGGGTTAAGTGCTCCCTGAGTTCAATCCCTGGTGCCAATAAATAAATAAATAAATAAAATCCAGGGCTTTCATGGGCATCATTTCCTCCCTGGTGAGGTGGGGACCAGTCTGTTCATTTTACAGAAGAGGGAACTGAAGCTCCAAAAAGGGAAAGAATTTGCCCATGGTCACATGACTAGCAGTGATTTGAATCTAGAGTCTCCCTGATACAAAGCCCTCTTTTTGCCTTTGTCTTTCCTGGACCTTCTTGGCCCTCCCTGGGCCTCCTGCCCCTGGGTCACCCACCTTGTAGAGGATCCTGCCCTCCTGGAGTATGTAGAGCCTCTCGGGCAGGGCTGCGTAGAGCTGGCTGCTCTGGTTCTGCATGGTGTCCACCACCACAGGGCACTGGGGACTCTTGGCCAGCAGCATGTGGGCTGCCCATAGGCGGTCCTGGAGGTTCTGATGAATCTTGATGTCCACATTATTCTTAAAAGCCCAGCCATCTGGAAGAGAAAGATTAGGCACTCAAGCTGTACAAACAGGGCACCCAATTCCTCAGGCTAAATACCACTTTTAACAGAAGGTCCCAGGTAGAGGAGCCCTTGGCCATGATTTGGTCCAGTTTCCTCTTATAGGTCTATCTGCCAGGTTATATAGACAGTTACTGATTGACTCAAAACTGAAGCCCCGGACTCCTGGCTTCCAGGCCTCATCTCTTCAATGTAGATAGTCCAATCAATAGAGAGCGGCTTCTTGATATTTAGTAAGCATATATGTCACTCAGAGGCTTTGTTACAGGGAAATTCTGATTCATCCTGTCTAGGGTATGACTGAGAGTCTAACCTGCTCCCAGAATGTAAGGTGCCTGGACCACACTTTGGGAGGCAGTGGTCTAGAACTGTGGTTATCTAAGTGTGTGGGCTCTAGACCAGCTACAGCAGCAGCACCTGAGAGCCTGTTAGTAATGCAGATTCTCAGGCCCCACCCTAGACCAACCAGTGGTGGGACCCAGCCATCTGGGTTTTAACAGACTTTCAGATGATTTGAATGCACTAGTGCATTATAACTAGTTTAAAAAACTACTGCTCTAAATTAAAACTATGCTGATATTTCATCTCACTCTAGTCAGAATAGCAATCATCAAGAATACAAATAACAATGTTGGCGAGGATGTGGGGGAAAAGGTACATTCACACATTGCTGGTGGGACTGCAAATTGGTGCAACCACTCTGGAAGCAGTATGAAGATTCTTCAGAAAACCTGGACTGGAACCACCATTTGACCTAGTTAACCCATTCCTCAGGTTATGCCCAAAGGACTCAAAATCCACATACTATAGAGATGCAGCCACATCCATTTTTATAGCAGTGCAATTCACAATAGCTAAACTATGGAACCAACCTAGGTGTCCTTCAACAGATGAATGGATAAAGAAAATGTGGTATATATACACAATGGAATATTACTTTGCCATAAAGAAGAATGAAATGATGGCATTTGCTGGTAAATGGATGGAACTGAAGACTATCATGCTAAGTGAAATAAGMTAATCCCAAAAACCAAAGGCCAAATGTTCTCTCTGATATGTAAAGACTGACATACAATAAGGAGGTGGGGGGGAGAATAAAAGTTCATTGGATTAGATAAAAGGAAACGAAGGGTGGGGAGGGGGGATGGGAATGGGAAAGACAGTAGAATGAAGCAGACATAGTTTTCCTATGTTCATATGTGAATACATGACCCGTTTAACTCCACATCTTGTACAACCACAAGGATGGGAAGTGATACTCCATGTATGTTCCAGTCGAAATACACTCTACTGTCATGTATAACTAAAAAGAACAAATAAAAAAATAAAAACAAAACAAAAAACTATTACAAAAGAGTTTAGAAAACTTTCCTCTCCTGATTATTCATAATCAAAATGTTCTTTCCAATTTACAAATCTGACCATGTCACTCTCCTCCTCAAATCTTTTGGTGCCTTTCTAACACCATCCAGATAGATCCCAGCCTCCTCAGTATGGTCCATGAGGCCTTCTGCCCATCTCTCTAGTCTTCCTCCAGCTCTTGGCTCCAGGTAAATGGGTGAGGTACTTGGATTCCTCGACCCCCACCCCCAGGCTGTCTCTGACCTTTGCTCTCTTTTTGTTACAGTAGCTAACTCCACCTCAGTGTGAGCAGAGTGGAGCCTTCTCTTTCTTGGATTAGGCACTGTGACTTCTGCCACTGCAGCTGATGTTGCTTTAGCTCTATTGACAACCTAAGATAAGCTGCTCAGGGTGAGCTCAAAGCCTCCTATAGCTGCCAGCCTGGTAGTGACCCTTGTTCTCATCCCCTTCTATGCAGTTTTCCTGYCTCCTAATCACACTGCCTTCCAACCCATTATCCTCCCTGTCCTTTAGAGACTCGCCACAATGGGCCCACAAGTTGAAAAAACTGCTCATAGCCTTGCCCTTCCATTTGCCCCATTTCTGGGGAACCTGGAATCCAGGTAATGTAGTCATAGGTTCCTTTGGAAGCCACGGGCCCATGTTTACAATAATAGTTGGCCTGCAGGTGAGATAAGTTGCTTAAGTCTATCCACAGAGTCTGCATCACCTCCTTAGTGCTCCTAAGTCTCCTTACTCAGTATCTTTCTCCCAAGTTAAACCAGCCCTTCAGATTCACCTCAAGATACAAATGTCTGGCCTGAGATATTATTACTCATTATCAAAGATATTATTACTCATCATCAAATTTCTTGATGATAATAACACCAATTTCTATTTACGCCATGTTTAGGCAGCCATGTCCACCGTGGGCTCTTGGAGCTTCCCAGCTGCCTCCCATGGGAGGCCAAGCAGGGATTCTCAGCCCCATGGTACAGCTGAGAACATGAGAGGAACAGCGACTTTCCTCCCCAAATATAAATGTAACTTCCTTACAGGAAGGAACTGTATATACATCTTTTCTCTCTATTTCCCTAGCCCCAGCAGGCCTGGGCACATTGTAAGTGCTCAGTAAGAAAAGTTGAATGAATGATTCCGTGAGGCAGATGATGTCATCCCATTTTTATGGTAGAGAAGCAGACGCAAAAGGGAAGTTGACCAAAATCCCATGAGCAGCACATAATGGAGCTGGACTCACMCCCAGGTCTGAAACTCCAATGTCTGGACCTTCCCACTATATCTTGTGCCTCCCTGTATTTTACTTGGACAAACGGGATGTGTAGAGAAAGTCAAGTCAACTAATTTGGGCCCTAAAGACTGGCCCAGACCTCCTGGGTCTGATGGATACTAGCTCTGTACGCTTTATTTCTGAGATATAAGTTATGCCCAGTTCTGTCTGGTTGATAGAAACAAGGACCCGGAAGAAGGAGATGGGGAAGAGGAAAAACTGTGTCAGGACAGGGCAGGAAGCCTTTCCTTGGTGGCTGAGGTAGATAGCTCTAGTTTCCAGAAAGGTTTAAACCTACCTGGTCTGATTCTGGGAAAAAATGAGTCAGGGACAGGTATCAGGACCAGGAAACAATGTCGGTGATATTCCAAACCCTCTTGTCACAATTTGCAATTTACTATTTTGGAAATTAAAACTGGAYCCTCCAGGACCTTGTGACTCAAAGTATGGTCCCTGGACCAGCAGCTTTGCCCTTACCTGGCCCCATGCCAACCCTCTGGAGCCAGAATCTGCATTTCAATAAGACACCTAAGTGGGCTGGGGATGTGGCTCAAGCGGTAGCGCGCTCGCCTGGCATGCGTGCGACCCGGGTTCGATCCTCAGCACCACATACCAACAAAGATGTTGTGTCCGCCGAGAACTAAAAAAAAATAAAATAAAATAAAATAATAAAAAAAAAAGACACCTAAGTGATCTGAGCACACAGTAAAGTTTGAGAAGTGCCTCCCCAGGAAGGCTAAATCAAACTAGGCTTGGCTGAACTCCAGCTGTGTGACGTGGAGGCATTGTCTCTTCTCAGCCTTGGAGACCACAGATGCCAGTTTCTCTGCCATAGGTCTCTTTCTTTAACTGGTGCCTGCTATTCTCACAAAGGGATATCTCACAAAGAGATACTTTGTGCTCATTTTTGCTCTCCTGTCCCCTGGGCTGTTTTAAAACAAATTTTATTATGGAAAATTTCAAATATATGTAAGAAAGAACAGTATAATGAGCCTATCATAACATTATCCTATTACAATATTTTTAATTGCTTCAAAATCACCAGGTAAGGACAGATGCTGCCAGTTAAAAGAGCACAGTATAAGTTGAAAGCAGCTTTTAAGCTTTTGTGTACATTTATGTCACTATGTAGTAGGCTACAGGTAGGGCCCTGGAATATACATTTTCAGTAAGCAAGTGGTTCTGTCACTAAAGATCTGGGGACCATATTGGGAGAAAGTACTACTGGGTCACCTTGGCTGAAGATTAATCAGAATAATCTCTGTGCTTACAAGACATGGACAAGCCAGCAAGGCTAACTGGCCTATACATTATCCATCCTGTTTTTACAGAGCTCTGACTGTGACGTGGGCTATACTGAGTTCTGGGTGACAGCAGTGTATCAGACAGCATCTCTCCCATTCTGTGGGGAGATGGATGAAGAAATGGCACCTGTTCCATTCTGCCACACAAGCCTTCCTGCCTTCCCCAATCTTTGGATTTGAGACTTGGGCCAAATTCATGAGTTCAGTCCCCATGAAAATCAGAGAAGAGATGTGTCTGACCATTTTGTAAAGTAAGGGGTTTAGACCACGATATACATGTTTCCTAGAGGGACATGTATGCCTCTTGTAAGGAAGAATTATCTCTGACTATCTTCGACTTTCCTAACAAAGGATGATTTCCCATGAAATGATGATGATGGGTGACGGGCAGGTAGGGACTATAGAAAGGATTCTTACCCAGGAAAGAATTGGCCTATGTCAGTGGTTCTCTCACTTGGGATCCCCAGATCAGCAGTATCAGCATCACTCATAAGAAATACACATTCTCAGGCCTGTCTAAGGCAGTCTGCTTTAAACCAGCCCTCCAGGTGCTTCTGATACTTACCACAGCATGAGAACTACTAACTCACATGAATCATATCTCTTTGAGTCTTAGGATATATTTTTTTCTTTTTAGTGTTGGGATGGAACCCAAGGGCACTGTGCCACTGAGCTACATCCCCAGCACTTTAAATTTTTTCATTTTGAGACGGGGTGGGGGAGTCTTGTTAAACTGCTGAGGTTGGTCTTAAACTTATGATACTTCTACCTCAGCCTCCCAAGTCACTGGGATTACAGACATGYGCCATTGTGTCCAACTGTTTTAGGATGTATAGCAGTCATTACTAATGACTGTACAAATAACTATACTTACAAATAACTGGATAGCAGTCATTTCACCGATTTCAGGTCCAAATTCCTTATAAATGTGCTCAAGTCAATTGCTCTCCCTTGATTTCCCTATTTATCTTAAAAGGTTAGAATGCTCTCTTGCCAGACCCCCATCTCTCCAGGTTTTCTGTTTTTTGTTGTTGTTGTTGTTGTTGTTGTTTTTGTGTGTGTGTGTGTGTGTGTGTCCTGGTTGAAAGCAAACCATGAAGTGAGTGGTGGGTAAATCCAGGGCGGCGATAGGGAGATAGCGGGTGCTTGATGAATAGCAGTTCTTTTCCTCCAGCCCACTTCCAACCTTGTATGGGGAGAGGGAAAAGAGAGGGTGTGAATAGCAAGAGGCAAAAACATCTTTCTGTACCTGATGCATGTGCTTCTTCAATGTAGATGATGAGAAAATCTGCTATGGGACTAAAGTCTTCAATAAGTTTCTTGAATTGGTCAAATTTGAAAAGAAATGAAGGTCAGGTGCAACTTCCAAAATTCAGCACCAGTGGTCTGTTGCCTAAAATGGAAGAACAACCATTATAAGCCAAGAATCTGCACAATTTATTTTTTTCAGAAAGAGAGAGGGAGATTTTTTTTAATATTTATTTATTTWTTTTTTTTTWRKTTYYSGSSG